ACAGGCCTGTCCCCGGATCCTCCTTCCGGCCCTTCTTGTAGATGGGCATCACATTGGCAAGCCTCCAGTCATCCGGGACCTCCCCCGTTAACCACTGCATAAGTACACCCACTAGAAGCTCATTAAGCAATGTCCCCAACATTATGTATGATCATTATTTCAAACTTTCTGTAAGTGAGAGAAAAGCACATGGGAACATTTTCTTTTATAAAGATTTATGCTCCTGGAGGGGGGGGGGGGATCAAAGTGAAAGAAACATACTCTTCTCACTGAATGGTATCGTTTTAATTTCTGAAGCAGGTATCCAACTGGCTTAAACCAGCCCCTAAGACAGCTCAGTTTCTCTCTTTTGCAATTATTAAAGCAAGTAACACTGGGCAGAGAAGGGGAGCTGTCAGTCACAGTTGTCAATACCAGAGCTTTATCTATTGATGCTGTGAACCCAGAGTAATGAACACCTCAAGCCTAATAGGTAGAAATTTCAATCTGATCCAGTCTGCTACGGAAGGTTAATGCAGGGAAAAGTGAAAACACAGCACTCAATGTTTAAGAGGAAAACATACTTCATTATTCGGTGCAAGTTTTGCGTTTCCTATGCAGAGGTTTCAATGCTTCTTTGCTGCAGCATTCTAAATGCTGCATACCTCTCCCAGACAAAACAAATAGCAGTGCCTAATGGTGAATGAGAGTGGACATCTGGTCTTTAACAAGTCACAAGAAAAAAATCCCTCCATATCTGTAAAATCATTTCAGCTCTGCTTCTTGGCATAAATCCAAACTGTGCTGGACACAGGATATTAGTTTCAGGTAGATAAGCCTCCAGTTGACTTTTGGCTCCTTGAACCAACTTGAGAACAATTCTTTGTTTTCATCTTCCAACTGCATGAATTTTTATCCTACTTTTTCATGCCTGGCTGTACTAAAGTAATCTCATTCCCTTCCTCCTGATTCACTGTCATACTTATGTCTGGTCCCTGCTCCCTCAAAACATTGTTACTCCACATGTCCATTTAATCCTTTCCTTTGCCACCCCAGCATCTCCGATTTGCATTTCCCATGTGATCCAGCCTTTCTGCTCCATTACTCCATTTTGACAATTCTATAAACAACAATCTTATCTGCAATATATTTTTCCCAAGTATAGTCATGTCTTCATCCTGAAACATGTGAAGCTAAGTCCATATTAAATTAATGGAAATACTAAGATCTCTTAATGTAAAGCAGTAGCCTAAATGTCTCTGTTTTTTAAAATAAAATGCATTCATTCAAAGAAATTTATTCTAAATAATCTGCAACATTTAGCAAGGCTGGCATATCATCTGTGTAGTAATATAAAGAAAAAGTCTAAAGATTACACAAGTAAGAAGACTTTTCCTATCTCCTATGCCCTTGCTATGATATAGTTAGTTTTCTCTAAAGTTGTGCTCTTTTCAAAGAGCTAATTTTCTTCAGTTCCACTGCATCACAGCTTCAGTTCATCTGTCACAGGCTATGTTTATTCTACGTTTGTATCGAAGGTAGCCAGCCATAGAAAAGCACTGTTGCAGAAAGGTTATTTCTTCAGGATTCTCTCTTATATTCCCCCAGCACATGTCATGATTTCAGTGTGTAAATGTGTGCGTGTGTGTGTTGACTTTCTCTTTTTGGCTTCCCTCGCTACAAGGGAGCTAAAATGCAGCTGTCCTTAATAGCTCCAGAGGGCAAAGATTTACATTATTCAGAAAATGCACTTTAATAAAAATATGCCATGTAAAAAATTATTATTTGCATATGTGTAAACATAGCAAGATATAGTAGAAAAAAAATACAAGGGGAAAATCAGCTTTGTGGAAAAAAATTAAATTGCATATGGAAGAATAGCAAGCATAACTTAACAAGCTCAAGACAGTAGCAGCTGAAAAATATTTTCATTCCAGGTTTGTTATTTCTTTGTAAAAGCTATAGATCAACAAAATTCATTTTTGTTTGCATCAATTACCACCAGTATAGCTTTAGACACTTTGCCACCACATCAAATTACTGACACAATTATTGTACTAATTCAGCATATAATTCTTCATTAGGAAGATAATATCTTTCTTAGTATCTTTCTTGTGCTTTTTTTACAGAAAACATCAACAGAAGGGAAGTGGGAAACCGCTTTAAAGATCTGTAAGAAACTTCCCGTGGCATATACTTTGTCATTATATCCCCGATCGCTACATAGATTTTTCAGTCAAATGAAACCTTCAGTTACATCAAAAACAACCAGTTAAAAACTCAATGGCTAGGAAGAAGTATGGTGAAATTTCCTGTGAACTCGCTAACTTCTAACTTACTTGTAGCTACCATGTAAGCGATAGAGGCCCATCCATCAAAGAGGGACCTATCTGCTAGGCTTCCTGGGACCATCCTCCACCCCTCCTACCGAAAACTTAGCCACATGCAGCAAGTTCTTTTTTTTTTCTTTTAGCATCTTTGATTAAAAAAAAAAAGAAAGATCAAAAGAAATAAGGATCTCTGTTTTTCCAGCATAAGGATACATTCCTAATGTGGTACACATGCAATAACAATCTTAGGCAGTACAACATCAATTCTTCAGGTAATCATAAAAAAAATCAGGAATAAATATCCCATATTGCTATGTTTTATTTCCAAATGTACTCTTTCAAACAATCAAAAAAGGTAAATACTGTTTCTTTCCTCTATCTCTAAATATTTTTAGAACAGACACAGATGCTTACGATATTCTAAATGTAATAGTTAAACACCGGTGAAAAATATGTGAAAAGAATTGTAAGCCAAGTTTAGTTACAGAAGCTGAAAAGAAAAAGGATCAACTTTAAATGTCAGCATCTTTACAACCCGAATAATCACAAATGTCAATGAAGTTAACAACTTTGGGAAAAGAAAAAGAAAACCAACTAAACCAACAGAAAGGAGTTATTTCTTCTGAGACCACAGGTGCATTTTCAAGAGATCAGCACCTTTGTTGTGAAAGTTGCAGAAAAACATATATAATATATACATATAATTCCTTTTTTTTAAAAAGGAAGTATTATTCCTCCATTAGACTTCCAATGTGGTGTTTGTTTTCTTTAGATTCAGCTGAAACCACGGTGACTAATACATTGGATCAACTGACAAACTAAAATTAAGACTTATACCGAACAACAAAACCCTTGGGCTAACTGTTGCATTTTCCTTTTCATTGACTAATACAAACATGTACAACAAGAGTTCAGGAAACCAAATAATGCTACACTAAAATGATCTAACAGTAGTCCCCATCTAATCATTCATATGCTATTACAACACTGTTTTCTACATGATTTTTTTTCAGTTATCACATTTTATACATTATGAAGTGAAAATTAACAAGACATAACTCCTGAGAGCTAATTGAAATTGATGGAAAACAAAGGGAATTTTTATTTTCCTTTTAGCTTTATACAAGCATGAGCTCTGTGTCATACAGAATACTTCAGAACGGTGAAC